ATCCATCAATGGCATAACGCTTTCCCATTTGTGTAGAAATTCAAACAAATGGATTTTATGAATTTTCCAGGTGATTCTAAATATGCTTTCATTATGTCATCACTTTGACAACAACTTGGTGACCCCTCTGTAGTTTTTCATCGAATGACAACTTGTCTCTCATTTTGTTCTTCCTTATAACAGCAAAAATCTAGTTCTCGAAATAGATGATATTTTTAATTTTGTTTGCTGTATTTTGTTTTTGTTTTTCTCTCTCTCTCTCTCTCTCTCTCTCTCTCTCTCTCTCTCTCTCTCTCTCTCTCTCTCTAAATTCTCCCGTTTCAAAATTTTTCGCCTATGTTGACTACTCTCTGGGAGTTCCACTCTAAAGTTATCTGGGTTTTTTTTTCCGATTTGGCCTGTCATGATAAGCATATGAAAATCGTGTTCTTATACTGTTTTTTTTTTTTTTCGTGTAAACTAGAGGGAGATATGTTAAGGTTGATAATTAGGGAATTAAAAAAACAAATCTAATAAAAAGACACGCAGCTAGTTGAAAATATACTGCATTTCTGAAGTCCTGATTCAGTGAGTTAACGGTTACAAGTCCCGGAAGTTTGACACCGACTAGGCCATCTCTAGAAGAAAGGAGGTAGAAGGATATAGCGGTTTTAAACGCCTTTTCATTCGCCGGTAATCTAACGATTCAGTAATTAATGAGAAGAAGAGTAGATATCCTAGTAAAAAGGTGCTTCTACGCCCATTAATTTCCAGAGAGATCTTTTGACTTATCAAACACACGCAATCCGAAATTGCTAAGTAGTAACGTGCAAAAAGATTGAATGTCGATCTTACTCACCTCTCTTCCCCATTCACTGACAAGTACTCGGTAAAATTCCTTTACGAAAGGCAATAACGATATGAGATACAAGTCATTCTCCTGGTGAAAAGACACTTCAATTTTACTTTCAACAAGAAGCTGAGGCAGTCCAACTTTGATATATTGCTTTCAAGAAGAGTGTCGAATCTAACGTTTCTGTCTACAACGGAACAGTAGTAAAAACAGAACCAGTGAATAAACTTATAACAAAGCTTTACTGCACTTTACTCTGAATACTCGTCTACTGACGGACATAACATTGTGTTTTTTTATACCTCCTAGATTTTAAAGGGAGGTAACTGATGATTTATCAGTAAAGAAACAACAACAGTTGACGCCAAACACTTTTTCGAGTCACACAACCAACCCATGATGTCGTGACACTCTCACAGTATAATTCTATTCTCTATAGTTTGTTTGACTGAGCTATAATATTTTTCTAAAACGCTCACTATTATTGGCTTGTACACTTTCTTGTTAGCTTGTAAAATCTGTGCCTTTACTTATTTATAGCTTTCAGTCGGACCATATGCCCGGCATAAGATTCTTTGTGTAAAATTTCGATTTTTGTTACAATTAGCGGTGGTTAAAAGTTCGCATAGCAAAATGCCTGAACCGCCTTGTATAAAATGGACGTAATCTGAAAATCTGATCTACCCGACAACCTCAAGCAGATCTTTTTTTTCTTTTTTCTTTTTGGGCCACCGTAATGCTGGTTTTAATGTATGGTGCCACTGCTTGGGCATTGACTAAAACCATTCAGCCTAAGCTTAAGTGAACCTACACTCGGATGCTAAGAGCTATACTTAACATCACTTGAAGGCAACATCTAACTAAACCACTGTCCTATAGGCCCATCCCGATATTTCTACAAACTTACGTGAATGCAGAATATGCTTTGCAAAACAAAACAAGAACTTGCGAGTGATCTCCTAGCCATGGCATAAGACTGATTGGTCGCCTAGCTACCACTTACATTGACCAACTATCTAGAAACACGGGACACCATGATGACCTTCTGACCTTCATGCGGTATCGTCATGGATGGCGTGAGAATCTCATTACTGTTCGAGTTAGCACGTGCGGATAAAAAAATAAGAATAGTTGTGGCTCTTGCCTCAAGATGTTTTGTGCTCTACGTTGTTCTAACGTACACCGTTTACATTATTCGGAACATTGTCCTCATCTTTGTCACCATATTTATTACAACGTTTCGACCGTTGTACACTCCAGCCTTCTTCAGGTGGTTGGAATGTCGAACTGAACCCTTTATTTCGCTCGCTGGGGTAGACTGTTCTAGTTCCACGTGCCATGTCTAATGGATGTCAGTTATCAGTTATCTCCTGCTAATTCTCCTCTCTAAGTTCTCCACTGCCTTAATCGGGTATTGAACTCACACGCTTAGGGTCCTGTTACTGGATCTAACCAACGATTTTATCCACTGTGCCATGTGTCCTTGAGGACATTGGATTCACACTCTTTGGGTTCTCAAGGACACATGGCACAGTGGATAAAGGCGTTGGTTAGAACCAGTGACAGGACCCAAAGAGTGTGAGTTCAATACCTGGTTAAGGCGGTGGAGAACTTGGAGAGGGGAATTCACAGGAGATAACTGATAACTGACATCCATTAAATATGGCACGTGGAACTTGAACAGTCTACCCCAGTGAGCGAAATAAAAGGGCTCAGTTCGACAGTCCAACCACCTGAAGAAGGCCGAGGTGTACAACGGCCGAAACGTTGTGATAAATATGGCAACGAAGATACACTGGTACATCTTCTATAGAAATATAGAACAATAATGAACAGGCTGTGATAGATGGAAACAGAACTAGATAGATAGATAGATAGATAGATAGATCATGAACAGACTTAGATAGATAGATAGATAGATAGATAGATAGATAGATAGATTATACGTTTAAAAGTTATAGCGATGGTCAGGGTTTTGTTGAAATATTGAAATCCAAAGAAACTATTCATTTAAATCGAAAGCTTTAATTAATTTTCATAAAATTTATATCATTAAAAAGAAAAACTGTGGATGATCTGGTATTAAAATTACTGCCATAAATTATATCGAACGGGACTTAAAACTGGACGACTACGCGGGTACATCTTCATAAGTTCATTTATTAAGAGCGTATTTACGAACATAAGAGAATTCTTGTCAATCAAATGCTTATGTCTTTTTTTCAAAGTTTCTCTTTCTCTATTCCTTTCTTCATTTTCCCTTTTTTCTTTTTTCCTTGTTTCCCGTAATAACGAAAGAATTTATTCTAACGCCTCCAGATTTAGCTTCTACTTTGCCACAAAAACAGGGCGTGTCTTTTCGACAACGCTTCTCAATTGATATCAGTGGAAAGAGCTCCGATAATAATGGAATGGACAATAAAATAGCTCGACACTGACCGCCCAAAATGCATGTAAAATTAGTAAAATTTAGAAATGACATCCTCTCTCATTTGGCTTCAATTTATGAAACTATTCATCTGCATCACATCGGTAAATGTATGACTGATATCTATCTATCTATCTATCTATCTATCTATCTATCTATCTCAGTCTGTTAATATCTATCTATCTATCTATCTCAGTCTGTTAATATCTATCTATCTATCTATCTATCTAGTATGATTGATATATATCTCTCTTTCTGTCTATCTATCTAGTATGACTGATATCTCGCTCCCTCTCTCTCTCTCTCTCTCTCACTCTATCTAGTAAGACTGATATCTCTCTTTCTATCTATCTAGTATATATCTCTCCCCCTCTTTCTCTCTATCTATCTATTTATTTAGTATGACTGATATCTCCCCCCTCTCTCTTTCTTATCTATCTAGTATGACTGATATCTCTCTCTCTCTCTCTATCTATCTATCTATCTATCTACCTAGTATTTCTGATATATATCTCTCTCTGTCTCTATCTATCTAGTATGACTGATATCTCTCTCCCTCACCCTCTCTCTCTATCTATCTAGTATGATATATCTCTCGCCCTCTCTCTCTCTTTCTATGTATCTATCTATCTAGTATGTCTGATATCTCTCTTTCTCTCTATCTACCTAGTATTCCTGATATCTCTCTCCCTCTCTCTCTCTCTCTATCTATCTATCTCTGATATCTCTGTCCCCTCTCTGTCTGTCTGTCTGTCTCTATCTATCTATCTATCTATCCATCTATCTATACATATATACATACATATATATATATATATATATATGTGTGTGTGTGTGTGTGTGTGTGTGTGTGTGTGTGTGTGTGTGTGTGTGTGTGTGTGTGTGTTTCGTTAAATACGACAGACAAGTTACTGCCTTTTATTTAATTTTTCTTGTGTTCATACAAGTGTTTTCTTTTATGGACACAAAGTGTGTAAGAACTGTCCGAAAGACCTGCATATCCGAGCTATTATTCGGCTATTAATTCAGCCATTATCAAGAGCGATATTATTTATTTATTCATTTTATCTAAATATATAGGTTTTTGTATGTATGTATGTATGTATGTATGTATGTATGTATGTATGTATATGAATCTATAGGAATGTATTATTTTTCGAACACTGTCAGCACATTGTGGCTGTGTTCAGAGTTAATGTTATTTAGTGCTGATTTTTCCTTTTTTATTATTAGGGCTTCCATTATTTTTAATCATTTTTTTACATATGAATGAGGCAACTATGCTTCTGTTTTCTACTAGTATGTTTCGGGTAAAATCTGGTAGGTTCTTGAGTGTGTTTAAATGAGTCCTAATGGAGATATGGTCGGATAGGTGTAACGTACGTCGTCTGGATAGGCATGTAGTAGTGTGACCAATGTAATTATTTATGAATTTGGTTTGGTCAGGAACAGTTTCTTAAGGGGCATTCGTAAATAATGTTGGTTCTTTGTAGTATTGATTTTGCAGACCCATTATTATTTTTTTACTATAAGGTTGGCTGTTTTAAATTATTTGAAATACATAATTAATTTAATTTTCTTGTACGGGTCGACTGGGATGGTGTATTTTTTTATGATATTTCTAAGTGAAATTTCAACTTGCTTGTAGTTGACGTGTATTTGGCATTTGTAGAAGATGTTATTGTTATTCTTTATGTCTGTATGTCTGTGGGATATGAAGGAATTAGAGAAGGACGGGTCCTACATGTCCTATGGTAGAAAACACGATATTTAAACAACATATCTATCTCCTATACTGAGCTCTCAGAAATCAAAACTTTAAAGAATACATACACGCGTGAATACATACACACACTCATGTATATATATACATATATATACACGCATATATATGGCTAGCTAGCGACACACACACACATACACACACACATACACACACACATACACGCACACACACACATATATATATATATATATATAATGAACAGACTGAGATAGATGTGAACAGGCATAGATAGATAGATAGATAGATAGATAGATAGATAGATAGATAGATACGAACAAATTGAGATAGAGATATACGAACAGATATACGATGCATTCGGCATGATTGGATAGGTAGATACTCATAGATCTGATTAGATAGATAGATAGATAGATAGATAGATAGATAGATAGATAGATAGATAATGAGAAAACATAGATAGATAGATAGATAGATAGATAGATAGATAGATAGATAGATAGATAGATAGATATTTTCTAAGAAAATTTCTCGAATGATCAAACCGGCAGATGTAGCTGGAAAATAGTGTCTAATTTTTAAAAAATCAGTGCTTCTACTAGTATATGAGTATCCATCAAAAATAACTTCGTTTCTCTAATGATATAGAGTTGAAAAAGATATTGAGGGGAGGGTATAAAAGATGACAGGGTGAAACGATTGACTTAGATAGATAGATAGATAGATAGATAGATAGATAGATAGATAGATAGATAGATAGAAATAAGAGAGTGTGCTGAACGATTATCCTGTAGAATTTTGATGGCAATTAAAGAGATCTCCGCGTCGTATATAGTGTACAAATTAACAACAATAAAACTATCGATTAATTGCCTAAATTTGTCTATGTTTTTTTTTTTTTTTTTAACTTACTGTCTTTTTTCGTGAAAAAAAGAATGTCTTTATTTCTCTTATTTTTCTCATACGGTCTCGGGCGGTACGTTTTACAACCGACTTCAACTGAATTTGCGCTCCACCGAGTTTTCTTATTGGTCTTTTTCTGCATTATAATCCCCCTGTTTCTAAACCGAGTAAGACCTCGTTGAAATTGAACGAGTCAACATAAAAGTACCCTAACAAAAGCACATAGCCCACCAACTGGATTAATTAATCGACCTTCTTGGGGAAGGTCTCTCCCCTTGTTTTGTAACAAGCATGTAGCGATTCGGGCCTCAAATTTATTTTCCAAGTTTAGAGTTCCCCCGCCACTCTTCGATGTTAATAATATTCCCTTTATTTGTTTCTTTGTAAAATCTTCTATATCCTGATTTCCACAAAAATCTATTACTGATAATTTCGCAACCGATAAAAGCCCACACTCACAAAAAGACGACATATTCAAGATATATCCGAATATGGGGAGAAAACACGCATGCGCAAAAGCGCTTACCTCGTTATTCGTTTTTCCAGAGCGTTAAGCAGGCTGAATGCAAGTCTCTTTCGATATTCAATAATTTTATCTTTTTAAAAAAAATGTTTTCCTTTTCTGCTAATTTTTTATTGAGCAAAAAGAAAAGCATAAAAGCACGAAAAAGATTTCAAATATTGCATGGTAAGCAGAGAAATAAGATACAAAAATACAAAACGAAACGAAATGAAACAAAAAAAAATGTTTTCACTGCCTTTCTGCCCAGGATTTTTCTATATTCAGTTTTCCCCTTCGTCTTTGTTATACAAATGTTTCCAAGATGCATTCTATTATTTTCTTTTGTATTTCAATTGGTCATAAACTCGACACTCATTAAAAAAAAAAAAAAACGACAGAATGCACTAAACTTTTCCTCGTCTTTTTTCCCTTGCTCCATTTCTCATTTTCTATGTTTCCTCCCTTCAACTCTTTAACTCCTCCCTCTCAATTTTTCTTTTTTTTTACTTTCACTTTTACTTTCACTTTTACTTTCACTTTTCCTAGGTTTTATTTTTCTCTTTCACCCTCATTCCTTCAACTACTTTCCCTTTATCGTCTTTCTTTAGTTTTTGTTCCCCGAATACTTTTATTTCGAATTCGCCTTTAAAAATGGCTTTGAGCTAAAGAAGCCCGTAGGTCCTACCACCTTTCTCGTCGGCTGGCGCTATAGAATAGCAAGCAAAAACTGTACCAAATAACAAAAACTACTCGTCCTGAGTATGACGATAAACTACATCCGGCAGCAAGGCCTCTGAGCGGGAGCTTTTGAGGAGCGTGAAACATCACTTTAATTGCTTTTGTACGCAGATCCACCCTGACCCGGGGTGGTAGCACCTGTTAGGGTCCCAGCTATGGGCAAATAGTTAACTCCCAAACTGGGGTCAAAAAGGATAAAACAAATTTATAGTAAAAATAGCAGCAATATATTTTCATAATAAAAAACATTTCCAGCAATCATTTTTGAAAAAAAAGCAGCAGCAATACATTTATGGAAAAGAAATTATAATGTTCGTAAGAAAATTAAATTTCGGCATTAAATTAGCCATAATCTGCTAAACAAACAAGCAGAAGCTCCATCACTTGAAGTCTTTCAACAGCAGCGATAACTGAAATGGACAGTACACGTAACTCAAAGAAATAATCATGACCTAATCAAGATGTTGATATTCCACACTACTTCAAACAAAAGGTTAGGAAGGAAACTCCCATCAATTCTAGAAGGAGCTATAACAGTTACTGAACTAGCGAAACTTGAAAAAATTGTTTTAATAGGAAGATTTTACAAATTGCAACCGAAAGTATCCCACTGGCTGCTCGGTCATAAATGTCGAATATTCTCTCTCATATGGAAACGGCTAATTACTATTACCATTAAATATGAGGAGAGCAGTGGCTACACTGGCCGAGGGAGTGAAGAAAAGCGTAACTGGAATAGTACTGGCTGCTCGGTCAATGAATTTCGAATGTTTCCAGATAAGGAAACAGTTAATAATACCATTAATGTGTTTCACACATACCTATCTGGATCAATAAAGGCAAGCGGTTTGATATGGAAATTATTAAAATTCGTTATATGCTTCATCTTGCATATATTAGGCGACATAAACGTTTTTATCTATCTATCTATCTATCTATCTATCTATCTATCTTAGTCTTATATCTATCTATCTATCTATGTACAAGTGTGTGTGTGCGCGCGCGTGTATGTGTATGGCTAGAGAAATTAATTAGGGATTGTTGATGTTCCCATATGCCACATTTTCGAGATTTCTATTTCAAGGTCCTTGTATTTTGACTGCTTTTTGAATAACTTCAAAGATATATTATTATTATTATTATTATTATTATTATTATTATTATCGAGTGAGAACAGCATGCTAACAAAGTAATGTCGGTGTACAAATATACGAAACCCAATATATCTGTGATGATACCTAGTTTGATAAGAGTATACCACGCACAGGCGTCACAGCCAAATGTCCGTGAGATGGTTACAGGTCTTGATAAAAACAGTGCATAAATGTCCAGATGGGGCCCCAGTTAGAAATAACTTCAGGTTGACTAACCCAGTCGGCTCAGATGTTCTCAGGTGTTCCCAAGTGTCTAGTTTGCGATTCCTAAGTCACCTTGGCTACTCCGAACTCAAAAAGAAAAAAAATTCTCCACACCCGACCTTTATGTTCTCCCGCTCATGAACCGATATACACAGTTCCTCTGGGTCCCTTGGAGACCTTTTCAAGCAGCTAACATGAAAGTTTATGGATCTGAACGGGATATTGAACGAAGGCCATCTTAATTCACCAATAATAAACACGTCCATACCAGCATCAATATCAATCAAGTAAGACATGCGAGCTGGTACTAAGTCATTCATCATTATATTATTATCATTATTACGAATTATCGTAAGAAATTACCGGCGACGTTCGTCGGCACCTGCTGAGCCATCATACAGAAATATGTTTTTAACACATTGCTATAATTAACTAGCTGAAAACTAGGCAAGAAAGAAACAGAATTCATCGGATATAAAGGTTATAGTAAAACATTCATCTGGAAAACATTAAGAAAAAATATGACCGTCATTTGAAGCAGGGGGAGGTTACTCTGTCTTTTCTTGCTTTATATTCAGCTGAACTGCTACCTTGCTTTTTATATACAGTAATGTTTTTTGTTATAGCTAAATTGGTTTTTGTGATGTTTTATAATATTCTGATAGCTTGCATGAAACATTAAATGCTTAAATCCACTATGAATATGACTCACAGGGAAGGCGGTTCTTATGCCTGTGCGTCTTTTATAAGATCGAATACATCGTTATTTTCAATGAAGCTGGAAAAATTTAAAGTTGTGCATTATAGGGCTGGTATTGATTATGATGCTAATCTTCTTTTTTTTCTCTCTCCGTTTACATCAACGTATTACGAATCGTTGTTTAGTCAAACGTGTGGTAATTTTATTAAATTTCTTTGTGCTAATTTTCCATATTTTTATGAGTGCCTGCAAACTGCATTTATATATATATATATATATATATATATATATATATATATATATATTCTGTACGTCTATTTCAAATACTGTTTTTATTTTATTTACTTCATTCTTTTTTTTTCTTCATCATATATTTTAAGAGCACGGCTCATAAAAATGCCTGAATTCAAGTTTTGTTGCGTTTTTTTTTTATTTTATTTCTATATTTTTTGTTTTCATTCATTCATTTCTTTAACAACCCGCAAAAAATGTTTTTTTAGTTTCCTTCATTGTTCAGTATTAACCTATTCGGTTATTTTTTGGCCGATTATTGTTAGTTTTATTTTTCTTTTCTTTTTCTTTTTCCTTTTTGAAGTTTTTCATTCTGAAATAAAAATGTCCGGTTAACAACATACAGACGATGCAAGTGGGAAACTATACCATTATTTATTTATTTATTTATTTTGTGCGTGAACGTTCCTCTTCTCTACACCATTTTTTCCCAACTGGCAATGAAGGGTGGTGTAGGAAACAGAGAAAAGGAACGGGTAAAGCAAAATGGTGGCGTTGTGACTTCGACTATTCGGAATCCGCGTCGACAGCTCGAACGACGCCGATTTGCATGTTTCAGTCAGAAGCAGATTAAACATAGATCAATTTCAAATTTGCAGCCGACATTTTATTTCTTCGAAAATATCCGCACCATCAATTTTGCCGACATTTTTATCCGATAAATTTGCATTTTTACGCAGTTCTTTTTTAGCCTATTTTTCGTTCTTTTTCTTTTAATTACTCATTTCTTTTCGTGCTTTTTCTTATCTTTTTCTTTCCCTTTCTCTTTTTTATATCCTTTCTCTTTTTCTTACCCTTTTTATTTTTCTTACTTTTTCTTACCCTCTCTATTTTTCTTACTTTTCTCTTTTTCTTACTCTTTCTCTTTTTCATACTTTTTCTCTTTTGCTTACCCTTTCTATTTTTCTTGTCCTTTCTCTTTTTTAACAGTTTCCTAGTTTCTTCTCTTTTTATGTCTTCCTATTTATCCCTCTCTTTTTATCTTCTACTTTTCTTTCTCTTTCTCCCTCTCTTCTCTCTATTATTATTTATTCCTTACTTTCAACTATTAATTTCAAATTGTCTTTCATTCACTTCTTTTTTTTCTTTCAAATATTCTTCCTTTTTCTTTTCATAGCTATTTTCTTAACTACAAGAACGGGTGCAATCATGCACTCTACAACCTCCTTCATCTTTAATTTCAAGGAATTACCATAAATTCTTAAAGAATTATAATACGATGCTTTCCTTTTTACCTTCTCTACGGTTTGGAATCCAGTTTTCCTTCTTTCGTACTGGTTTCCATCTAAAACCAGAGATCACAGTCTATCGTCCTATTTAACGCTTAGGTGAAGTGAGAAAAAATGGATTCATGCCTTTCTCAAGGTTAACAGTGCAGAAGTTAATGCAACCGGCTAGTCTGCAATCCACTTGCGGTGCTTATGACCGTTACACCAAACGGACGTCCATTTCCTGCATATAGGGTTGATATTTACCAAGCTCAGCCATCAAGCGATTATTTTGGAAATAGAAATGATCGTGTGGATATGAAGGTTCTGATTCATCTCTTCTTC